AAAAGATAAACAGCATAAATCTCAATGCTGATGGCCATGGAGGTTTATAAAAACTTTTCCTTATCTGGAGGTGTTATTATTAATGATTACAAAGGCAGATGACAAACCAGTTACTATGGTATTAATTTTATATAGAAAAATGTCTTCCCTTTTCATAATAATTTTTAAATGTGGTACTATATTGAATGCCTTACCTAAAACCTATATCCACTGCATTACTCTTGTTCACTAATATATATTTATAACAGAGAATACTATTCTATGCACTTGCCATGATCTATTTTTCATGATTCCTTGGTTATCACTCAGTAATAAACTGAGCAGTACTGCAGACAGAGGCAGTCCCTTAATATATATTCTTTCAATCTATTTTACAGTAAGGTCACAAACAAGATGAAGGCCTCATTGTGTTAGACTTTGTACAAAATAAAGCCTAAGTGTTCTATAAAATAAGAAACAGTCCTTACCCTTCCTTGTAACAAGGTATTTAGCAGAATTTGCAGATTTGTTGGAATCTGACAGGGCCATGCCATTAGCATCTCAGCTACAGCCTCAAACTTGCAACCTCTGGGCTATTAACTGTGCACCTTAGCACCTGTGCCACCCCAGCCCCCAGCCTGAAAAGCTGGGGCTAGGAGCAGCAGGTAAGGTGATCGGCTGTTGGGGTTCACGTGCTCCCCATGCCAGCTCCAGCAACAAAGGAAGCGAGCAAGTGAGCGAGCATGTAATGCAGAAGCTACTTGGGCAGGAGTCTGTGGGTCAAGAGTGAGGGACACCAGCAGGGCTGGGGGGGGCAGGGGGCTGCAGGTTGGGAGTGAGGGGCACCAGCACAGCTGGGAGGGGAGCTGGGGCTATGCATAGGGAATGAGGGGCACCCCCAGGGCTGGAAGGGGGGCAGGGAGCTGTGGATCAGGTGTGAGGGGCATAGGGATGGGAGGGGTGACTGCGGGTTGGATGTGCAGGGCACTGGCAGCACCAGAGGGCTGGGGATTGGGAGTGAGGGGCACCAGTAAGGGGTGGGGGGCAGGATACTGCTGTCTGGGAGTGGTGGACACTGGCAAGGCTGGAGTCAGTAGGTCCAGAGTGAGGGGCAGCAGCAGGGCTGGGGGAGGATGTGGCTTGTCAGTGAAGGGCAAAAGAATAGGCAGGGGCAGGGCACTGGCATGTCACTGTCATGTGTGCCCCCCCCCAGCATATTCCCCCTGCCTGCCCACCCCCCTGGTGACAGGTGTCCTCTTTTTTGGACCTGGAAATATGGTAACCCCAGCCCAATGAACTATATGGCTGTGAACTAATATCATGCACAGCTTGTATTCTCTCTAAGTAGATGCAATACCATCATCACGATGGTTGCAGGGGAATTACCTTAACTAAAGCAAGCCTCCAGGATGCCTGCCAAAGGAAGCCCCAGGCTGGGGTGGAGGATACTTGCCAGTAGCAAGACCACATATGATTCTTGAATGATTCAAATGTATTTGGACCTGATCTGGCCAATTTGACCTGGAACATGAAAAATTTTCCTTAAAAAAAAGTAGGTGCTAAAGTGCTGCTTAAAAGTATGCTTCTGGAATACCTGTACTAAAACTTGCAGCAGTTTCAGAAAAGGTAAAATGCATCAATCCTGGGTGAACTAGATCTATAGGTACTATACGTAAACTGCTACAGCTATGTTTGTTTTAAGGTCAGTTTTTTCAAATTTGTTTCTCAGTTCCACATGCTCAGGGAGTGCAGGGTCTGATAACAAAGAAGGGGAAAGAGGATATTTGACCCCCCAGATTTATTTTCTCCCCTATAGCAGTGGGAGATTGACAAATTCAAGACAAACCTCCAATAAATAGATTCTGTACCTAGAAAATTATATCAAATTTATCATTTTTCCATATATAAAATCTAATTACAGGGGGGTCATCCTATATTCAAGTAAATATGGTAACTAAGGTTTCTAAAGTGATGATTAAAGCTCACAATCTCATTTCCTTGCTCTGGATGCCAAATTCCTTAATGAATACAATGCAATCAAGCAAAGAAATTAAAAGAATGCTTGGAGGATCAAGTTTGGAAAGGAGGAAAAAGCTTGTACAGCCCACTACACCTGGACAACATAATAGTTCAAGTAAGCCAGCATGGGTAATGTATTAATTAGCTACCTATCATTCAGATCCTAACTCAGAACTTAATGAAGCCACTTTGCAAAAAGGCAATCTCTTCAGCAGAAGAATATAAATAATGTATATAAAATGGGGGCAGGGTGGGAAGAGAATCAGCACACCCCTGCAAGGTCAAGCCAGACTGCATCTCTGGATCGATGGCTGGCGCTGGCAGGTTCTACTGTTGAGAAGCCTGCAGCCATCTATGAGTCATAGAATTAATTAGTGCCAGTGGGTGTTGCCATAGGCACGTGGCAGACAGACTGGAAATATTAAATGACTGGGTTAGGAAATATAGTGGAGATGGAGGAGAAAGATTACATTTCTTTTACTAAGGCTTGATACGTAATAATTATCAACAGTCTTTTTATTCTGCAAACAGCCAGTAGCTCTTTAGGCTAAAACAGTACAAAATCAATGAGGAGGTTTAACATCGCTCTGTCTCATGTTTCAGAGAGCAGCAGAATGAGAAGTGGACATTTCTGGTAGAACATATGTATTTTTCCATTTTAAGCACCATATATCATCATAACCTACAGTACTTAAGATTCCTGCAACCAGTAAATTTTGTGACCAGCAGAGGGAGCATCTTTTATAACTTAGAAACCGTTGAAGGTTTGGATGGAGAGTGAAAAGGGAGGGAGAGACAGTCCGATTTTATGTCCCTTTAAAGTTTGAGCACATATTTAACATTCACAAAATAAACAACTAAGAATGGTAGTTTGTGCTGAGAATGATGTGCCCTGGTACCTTGGAAGCTTTTTCTACAGCTATGTCAATACACCTTAATTCTGATACACTTGGGATTCTGGGGGCCAGTCTCAGTTTCAAATCACAATGGGAACAGTACAATGCTATTACACTGACGTGACAATGCAAGGTCATAACTTTAACTTAAGGGACAATGGCAGCTTTAACTGACTGTCCTTTTTTCTGTCCTCAAGCTTGAAAGTGAGTTCTCTTCCAACTTAAAAATCACTAAACCCCATTAAATTACGGAGTGCTATTATACAAAACATTTTCCCTTCTCTTATGTTTTACCTAAAACCAAACTTCCTAAGGCCCTGAATCTCCCATCTGGCCTGCAACTAGGGCTGCACAAAGCTTTGGGTGCTAATTCAATTAGGAGGAGATTCGGCCCGATTCAGTGGACAAATCTCCAAATCCAGATCAAATCAGGGGACCGATAAAGAGGTCCAAAGCGATTCAAAGCTCTCCAAATGTTCAGAAAAGATTCAGAGAGGTTCAATGATTTGGGCAGTCCCCGCTGGCTGCAGCAGGGAGCTGGACCTGGACTTGGAGCAGGTAAGTAGGAGGTCGAGAAAGGCTCCCGGTCTCACTGGGTGGGGCCT